TATTTCTCCTCCCCAGAGAAAGTCATTTATCCCCCCCCCCTTGGGTCCTTCCTGTTACCTAACCTCTCTGAGGCTGTGGATTGTAGCCTGATTATCCTTTACTTTACAGCTAATATCCACTTACCAGTGAGTACATACTGTGTTTTTCTGGGTCTGAGTTACCTCCCTCAGTGTGATTTTTTTTCTGGTTTCATCAATTTGCCAGCAAATTTCATGATGTCAGTGGTTTATTTTAGAGCTGAATAATACTTTCATTATCCATTCTTCAGTTGAGGGGCATTTAGGTTGTTTCCAGGTTCTGACTATGACAAATAATGCTGCTATGAACATAGTTGAGCACATGTCCTTATGGTATGGGTCTGCATCCTTCAGGTGTATACCCAAGAGTGGTATCGCTGGGTCTTGAGATAGGTTGATTCAGAAATTTCAGAGAAACTGCCATACTGATTTCCAAAGTGGCTGTACAAATCTACACTCCCACTAGTAGCGAAGGAGTGTTCCCTTTACTCCACACCCTGTCATCAATGTTTTTAATCTTAGCCATTCTGACAGGTGTGAGATAGTCTCTCAATCATTTTGATTGGCATTTCCCTGATGGCTAAGGATGTTGAACAATTTTTGAACTGTATCTCGGCCATTTGAGATTCTTCTGTTGATAATTCCCTGTTTAGTTCTGTACCCCATTTTTTAAAATTGGATTATTAGGTATTTTGATGTCTAGTTTCTTGAGTTATTTACATATTTTGGAGATCAACCTTCTGTCAGATGTGGTATTGGTGAAGATCTTTTCCCATTCTGTAGGCTGCCATTTTGTCTTATTGCCAATGCCCTTTGCCTTGCAGAAGCTTCTCAGTTTCATGAAGTTCCATTTATTAATTTTTGGTCTCAGTGTGTGTGCTATTGCTGTTCTATTCAGGAAGTTGTTTCCTGTGTCAATGCATTGAAGGCTACTTTCCACTTTCTCTTTTTTAAGGTTCAGTGTAACTGGATTTATGTTGAGGTCTTTGATCTTCTTGAAATTGAGTTTTGTTGGCTGCATAAGGGTTTTTGCAATCATCCTGTGTTACCTGAAACCCTATCTGAAAGCAAAAGGGATGGGAAGCTAGGGAGACAGCTCAGTTGGTAAAGTACTTACCACAGAAGCATGGGAAACTGAGTTTAGATCTTTGGCACTCATAGTAAAAAGTCAGGCATTGTGGTACTCACTGGAGAGGCAATGACAGACAGATCCCTAAGCTGACTGGTCAGTCAGTCATTGAATTCCAGGCTAGTGAAAGACCCTATCTAAAAAATTATGTCAATGGTTCCTGAGGTTGTTTCCTGGCCTCCACAGGTACATGTGCCTGTTTACATAGCACACACACACACACACACACACACACACACACACACACAGAGAGAGAGAGAGAGAGAGAGAGAGAGAGAGAGAGAGAGAGAGAGAGAGAGAGATACATACAGTACCTCTCAATCAGGTTAATGTGTCTGGCAGGGGGCTTGCACCTCTAAGCTACTTTAGAACTGGTGTACAGCAATGATAAAAAGCAGATTACCTCCTAGTTTCTTTAATGTATTCGGATAATCAAGGACCACCCAAGGGAGAAGAAGCTGAGGTTCTTTATTTATCGTCACTTGTGTTGGGGCAGAGACCCCAAAACTAGCAGAATAGAAAGAAAACATTCTAATGGCAAAAACAAACAGCAAAGGGGCTTCACTGGCTGCTGCTGGCATGGTAACTTCATAAAGCAGAATGATTAGAATGGGCAATTTATGTGACTGATTGAAGGAGCCTCCTTAGTTCTTTCTGGTTGGGTACGAACTAAAAACAGACAGGTAAGAACTAGAAAAACTAGTTATTATGATCTTGACCACCCTGGGCAGATGTTGGTCAGAATTCTGTTGTCATATATGATGCGTCATTGTCCATCTGCACATTTGCCTCTGGATTGGTTCTAGATAGCCCATTTGCATCTCTTTATTGCCTTTACCCTAAAAAATGAGTCTCTTGGTATGATGCGATTATCAAGAAAGCTGATGGTGGTACTGAAGTGTTGACGGCTGGGTGTGGTGGCATGCAACTGTAATTTCAGCATCAGCAGGCTGAGGCAGAAACGTCATGAGAGACTTCAAAAACAAAACAGTATGCTTCCAAATCCCCAAGAATGTCCATGAGAACTGCATAAACCATGAGAACTGCAGGTCTCTGGGTTGTAGAATTGCCACTGCAAACCACGCTCCACAGCGGTTCTCCACCTTCCTAGTTCTCTGACCCTTTCATACAGTTCTTCATGTTGCGGTGACCTCCAGCCATGAAATTATTTCTGTTGCTATTTCATTGCTATCATTTTGCTACTGTTGTGAATCACAATGGAAATATCTATGTTTTCTGATGGTCTTAGGCAAGCCCTGTAAAGGGACATTTGACCCCAAAAGAGGTCAAGACTCAAGGGTTGAGAGCTTCTGTTCCTGGGAGTTCTGCATATCAGAACTCGGATGCCCTGGTATAGACTGGACTTAGTGTGGCCTCTGCATGAGGAGGAGAAATGCTAGAATTATTTTCCAATTTGCAGCCTGAGGAAAAGCTGTTGTCCCCTTACTTTAATTTCTTCACCTGACAGAAAGGTTGTTGACAGTCAACAATTGGACCTTCCACTGGAGAAACCTAGCCGTGTGGAACCCTAGTGTGGCGCTGAAAGGACACCAAGGAAAGCAAGTGGTGTGCATGCCTGGAATCCCAGCACCTGAGACACAGAGGCAAAGGATCAGGAGTTCAGGGCCATTCTCTGCTACGTCCTGAGTTCTAGGCCAGCCTGGACCACATGAGAACTATGTAAAAAAATCCAGAAAATTAAAATGCATGGCTTATTCTCGGAATAGTAAATTCTCAGAATTCTAAGGGGGCAGGGAGGCTAAACGTAAAGGCCTCTAAAACCCAATGCTGTCTTTTCCTAAGAAAATCATTTAATGTTGAAAAGTCTAAAGACTTTCCATTAAGTTATCTAAATCTTTGATGTTTGGCCAGATAAACCAGTTTCAACAAGAACAATAATAACAAAATCCTCTGACTTCTTTGTGTCTTGAAACTATGTCATAGAAGAAAGGACATAGGGTTAAATGAAGTAATAATGATGAAATATTTGTATTTGTCATTCTGAATATATGTCCTAGTTTCATTTCTCTTGCAATGATAAATACCCTGACAATAAGCAAATTAGAGGAGAAGGGATTTATTGGGTTTACAGTTCTGGATTATGATCATTATTATGGAGAAGTCAAAGAAGGGACATAGAACACTAAGAGCAGAGAAAGGAATGAAGCGTTGCTGGCTCTCATCTATCTATTTCCTGTCTGATGTAGTTCAGGACACTCAGCCTAAGGAAAGACAATACTCCCAATGGAGAGGATCTTTCTAAATCAACTCATGATCAAGATAATCCTCACTCCGACAGGGCAACAGGCCAAACTGATTGAGACAATTGCTCAGTTGAGGATTTCTTGTCCAGTGATTCTAGGTTGTGGCAAGTTCACAATTAAAAACATCATCATAACACAGACGCTTCAAGTTCCTTGCTGCCATGCGCAAGGCCCCAGATTCTAGCCACACACACACACCCCCACACACCTAAGAGTATGTATAAGGAAAAGAACACACACAAATAATAAAATTAAAAACAACTACAAAATTCTAAGAGTTGTGGCTTATATTTTTCATCCCAGAACTAAGAAGACCGAGACACAAGAAGTATCTGTGGTTTGAAATCAGCCTGGGATGCATATTTAATTCCCAAATATCCTGGAATACAAAGCAAGACTCTGTCTCAGAGGGCATGAAAAAATAAAAGAAAGTGAAAAGGAAGGAAGGAGGAGGGAGGGAAGGAAGATAGACGGAAAGAGGGGCAAGGAGGGAGGAAGGACAGAGTTCCCTTTTGGTGTTCTAAATGTTGGAGGGTTTTTATCCACTCTATATTCAGTTGTGAAATCCTTTTTTTGCTACACCACCACCAATGATCTCATGACTAATATTTACTGTTGGTGCTTTTCCTGAACTCTACTGAGCAGTTTACATACTTGATTTCTCTTTCTCCTCACTGAAATACTAAGGGTTGACTGTGTAATGGTCAGCTCTGATTTTAGATGAGGAGATTAAGACTCAGATAAATGAAGCGTGCTGTGCAATGTCACATACCCAGTGAAAGATGTAGCCCTGATTTGAACCGTGGTTTCATACTTCCCAAATCTTTGCGTTTCACAAGGAAGCCTTCAGAACGTCTCTGTGCTCCTAATAGTGCCTTGGTGAAGTAATAAAATTCTGACCAATGCAACTAATAAAAAAAAATTAACAGCCAAATAGTGGTGGCGCACGCCTTTAATCCCAGAACTTGGGAGGCAGAGACAGGCGGATCTCTGTGAGTTCGAGGCCAGCCTGATCTAGAGAGTGAGTTCAAGGACAGCCAGGGCTGCTACACAGAGACACCCTGTCTTGAAAAACCCAAAAAAAGAAAGAAAGAAAGAAAGAAAGAAAGAAAGAAAGAAAGAAAGGAAGGAAGGAAGGAAGGAAGGAAGGAAGGAAGGAAGGAAGGAAGGAAGAAAGAAAGAAAGAAAGAAAGAAAGAGAAAAGAAAGGAAGGAAGGAAGAAAAAGAAAAGAATTAACTAGTAATTTGGAAAGCCCCTTCCCTTTTGCACTCCTGTGTACTATCTCCTCTGGGTTGGAGATTCTTCGCTTCACCCAGATTCCTTTTATCCTCTCCTTTGGGAAAGGAGTGTGAAATTGTCCAATGATTGCATCATTCCAAAAGACTATGAAGGTTGGGGGCAGGACTGGGCATACATTGTCACCATTTATCACCAAGTTCTGTCAGTGGAAATGTACTAGCATTTGTCACGGGAGTTACTTCAGAAAACATTTCACCTGGCATTTCCCCGAGGTAGCCAACAGAACTCCATTCTACCAATCATTCAATAGATCAGCTATGGAAATACAAACTTCTTTTTCTTTTTCCAGATGGCAGACCAGATAAATCTAAGGTTACGGAGCAAGTCCTTGGAAGAATGCAGAAACAGGAGCCAAATCTTGCCCTTGAAATTGAGTTTTAACCAAGGGACAACTCTTCCCAAAGGTAACCTCTCCTTTTTCACATATTTTCTTCATTGTTTTTAAATTTACTGAGTGTCTTCATGTGCACGTGCATTTATGGAGGTCAGAGGACAACTTATGGGAAATGGTTCTGTCTTTCCGCTGTGTGGGTTCCAGGGATCAAACTTAGGTCATCAAGCTTGGTGACAAGTGCCTTTACCTGCTAAGCCACCTCATTATGTCCCTTCTTAAGGAAAAACGATGCCAAATGAGAAAAAAAATTAGAAACAACATCTCCAACATTGTCTGCTCGTGATAATTTTCTTGGTTCAGGGAATGATTTTTATATCTCCACATGAGTGGCCATGTTCAGGAAGACATAAGTGCCAAACACCTAATTAGTGTATGTCACATACTCTTAACTAAAAAAATAAAGCTGTGTAAATCCATAACCCATTTGTGAACATGTGATGGAGAAGTTTTGAAGTCAGTAATCAAAATAATTGTCTAGATGTCTTGGCTCCAAATCTCCACACTCCTGGACCTCTTTCAATTTATGCATATTGGGTGTGTATGGATAGATGTTTTATGTGATCTGAATTTCCATTGTTGCCAAACTTGTTATTTTCTCCAGAGGTACCTTATCAATGAGCCAAACAAATATTCTGATCATGTCTTTATAAGGGCACTTCACCTAGGTTTTGTCTCAGTAGATAATTTAGGTGTATGACATAAGCAAGGGCTATGGTGACCATAGTGCTGACCTGGCTTCATCCAAAGAATCACGGGGCTTTGTCTGCATTTGAGAAAGCCTGGAGATGTGGACATGAGCAAAGTGAGGATGGGAGACAAAGAGTGATGAGAATCAAGGTGAGAGTTATGGCAACATCTGAAGCTTCTCCGTCAATCAGAGAGGATGGCTTTGTGGGTCATGCATCTCTGTCACAGCTGCTCAGCTCCATTGGGGTCATATGGAAGCAGAAATATATGATGCACGAATAAATAGGTATGATTATGCACCAAAAAGCCTTATTTACAAAAGAGATGATAGGTTCCACCTTTGGGTATAATTTGCTTCCCACTGAATGAGCGGAATAGGTATCCCAATATGACTTGACCTTGAACTAGAAATACAGACATCAGGACTAGAAATGGGATTTCTTGCCTTCTTGGCACACCACAGAAAGTGGGTGATGTCAAAGTCAGGGTTTTGAAGGGTGGAGACTGTTCTTGCGTTTTTGTTTGCTTGTTTATCCGTTTCACTCTTACACAGATTTGCACAAACTGAGCACTCCCCCACACACCAATACCCAGATTACGAAACACTTGAAAGCTCAGCAAGGCCTGTGAGACGTGTGCCTGTTGTGTGTAGTTGTCAAATTGCAGATTAATGCTGTAGCCAGATGGTGCTCCATTTTGTAAATACACCGCAGTAAATGCAGCCATCCTGTTGCCACAGACACTAGGTGGTTCCATATTTCATTATTGGGAATCATGTTCATTTCAAAACTTAAAGTAATGTGCCTTAGTGAATGCACACACACATCTTGTTAGGTCTATATTGAAGAACATCATTGTAAAAGTCTGTAATCCCAACACTCGGGAAGCAGAGATGGGGTATTATCCTCAGCTACATAGGGAATTTGAATTCAGCCAGGGTACGTGACACCTGCCTCAAAATAAGCAAATAGATGTAATTAAAACACAAAGAACTAAAAACACATTTTTTGAAAACCAGCTTTCCTAAGTAGTGTGGTCTAACCCTCACCTGTGCCCTGGTAGTACCAAAGGGCACACAGTACTTTCTGTTTCCCAAGTGCAGCCTATTTCCACAGTTAGGACTGCATTCCCACCTAAGGACCAGGCTTCCAGTTTCTTCACATCTTTGCTAAGTGGAGTTTTGTATCTTTCTCACTGTAGTGAATACATAGGGGCTCGTTGTGGTTTTTATTCTTGTTTCCTGATAATGACGATAAGCCGCTTTTAGTGTGCCTACTGCTTATTTGGACATTGATTTTCTGAAGTGTCTCCTCAAGTCTTCTGGTTTTTATTTAGTTAGGTTTTTAGGTCTTGCTGATTGTAAAGAGACGCTCACATGCCACACACACCCCTCTGAATTCTAGTTGTACCGTCATGTAAGAAGTTACTGGGTCTGAAAAAGCATGGGATAAAACCGGACTCGCTGAACATAGCGGACAATGAGGACTGCTGAGAACTCAAGAACAATGGCACTGGGTTTTGATCTACTGCACGTACTGGCTTTGTGGAAGCCTAGGCTGTTTGGATGTTTACCTTGCTAGACCTGGAAGGAGGTGGGTGGTCCTTGGACTCCCCACAGGGCAGGGAACCTGGTCTGCTCTTTGGGCTGATGAGAGAGGGGGAGTTGATTGGGGGATGGGGAGGGATATGGGAGGCAGTGGCGGGGAAGAGACAGAAATCTTTAATAAATAAGTAAATAATAAAAAAAGAAGTTACTAAAAGCTTAAAACGTTCAGCAGGAGGAGACAGGACAATGGCTACATGCCCAAAGGCAACTTGGGGGATATTTGGATACCTTGGCTCAAAACACCAACCAATCAGCGTCCTACTTTAAAGCAACAAAAAAAGCATTTATTCTTTCTGCTATTTTCTGTGAGTTGTGAATTTAGAAATGATTGCTCGGGTCAGCTCTGGCTGTAGACTTCTCAGTAGATAGGATTTTGATATTAGATGGGAGCTTTGCTAGCCCTGGGGGACGTCCTGTCAGTGGGGCTTACTCGGATGACACCTGCATTAGTGCTGCTGTTGATCCAAGGCCTGGATTCCTTCCTCCTGTGCTTTTCTCAGCTGCTTAGATGTCCTCATGACATAGGAGCTAGCTTCTCTAAGAGTGCCCAATCTACAGGAGCCAAAGAGGTAAGCCAATGCTCTTTAAATGTTAGCCCAGAAAGTCACCTGCCCTTGCTTCAGTTAGATACAGATGCCAACTCAATGTGGGATACAACAGATATACATAGGCTTGAATACCACCAGAGGAGACTCTTTGAAAGTTATCTTAGAGGCCACCCACCATATGAGTCCGTTGACATATCAAATTATTTTTGAGAGTTAAAAAAAAAAAAAGAACAGATGAAAACTTCTTTGGGATGTCCCTTCTTGAGGCTGACTGCTTAATCATTCTTCAGGCTCAGTTCAAGTTCTTGCTGTGATTTCATGTGTATTTGCATATCAGTGTCTCTTTGCTCAGATTTTTCGGGGTCTCCAGAGGTTACTGGTCTCCTGGAGCATCTGCTTCTCCTAAATCATACCCCCAATCCTACTTTAGTGATTACTCACTTTTCGGCCTCTCTATTCTTTTCTATTTGGAGGCAGAATCTTATGTAGCCCAGACTCGCCTTGCACTCCCTGTGTAGCCATGGATGACTTTGACCTTCTGATTCTTCTGATTCTCCTGTATCACTACATCCAGCAATGGGATCAAACTAAGGATTTTGTACATGTTACGCAAGCACTCTACCTACTATGCTATTACCCCCTTTTAAATTAAGATTCTAATGCTCTCTTGAAACAAACTTGCTTGGAAGGGTGTGATGGCGTGATTCTATGAGTCATTTACCCTTTAGTTATCGGAGGGTCAGCCAAGAGCCGGCTTTCAGGTTAGGGAGAGGTACTAGGCACCTGCACAGATAAGAAAACAGCCATTTCTTAGCCTGATAAGGAGACCTGGCAAAGAGGCTGGGAAAGAGGAGTGGCAAGAAAGTATTCCAAGAACAAAATTTAAGGGTGCACTTCCTCTTAGCTAGAATTACAAAGTGAGAGTCCAAGAGGGAGTGCCTCCTTAAATTTTGCACCTTGGCCATTTCACACACGCCTGGCCTAAGTACACACGGTCACAATAACAATCCAGCCCTGGAGGCCTTTCCAACAATCCCCCTACCATTGGCTGGAATAGTTTCTCATTGTCGGGCACTTTGCTTACACAACTCGTATTTTTTTTTTCTTCTTTTTCTTTAAAAGATTTTTTAGCAACGCTGGAGATGCTCCCTGCCCAGCTTTGGTCATGCTAAGCACATGCTTCCCCACTGAACCAGATCCATGGCTCCTGGTCACGCAACTGTTAACCCTTTGCACAGCCTTTGTAGAACAAGCATAGTCTCCAGCTAAGGAAGGAAAAGTTTGGTAAAGCTACAAACCTCACCCAAACTCACGCTGTTAGTAAGAGGCATAAATCAGAGCTGGGCACGGACAGTAACAGGCCTGAGGCAACCCCACAACCTGGGAAATGGATGCCAGAGGATCAGGAATTCAGAGCCATCTTGACTATATCACAACTTCAAGGCCACAACTACTTTGCGGAGGTCCTGTCTCAAACAAAACAAAACAAATGACTAGATTGACTGAATTCCCACACCCATTCTCTTTCTTCCTATGCTGGATATTTCAGCAATAAGATAGAAATTGACAGCTATGGGTGTGGTGTAACTGGAGGCTATTCGAGCAGAGGTTTATTATGTTAGCGCTGACCCGCAATAACCCATGCTACACAAACACAGTCATACCACACTTCAAGTGAATTGTAGACATTTAAATGCTCAGAGAAGACAGCCTGGGTAGAGGTGGCTGGGAACGTCCCCACAAATGATCAGATCCAATTGACAGAACTCTAGGTGGAGCCGAATGGATCTATGCCAAAGAGCTGCCAGAATGTTCTTGTTTCCAAGCCAGGGAGGCAGCTTGTTCTTTGCCCATTTTCTGTGAAAATGATAGGTTGCATTTATTTTTTTTATGAATTTGCATATGAGAAGGTAGGAGGATCTGTAAGGAGACGTATGATTGATTGTGAATTTTGGTTTAGAGCCCCAAGAACCACTGTAAGTTTCAGTCTGCAACCTAAAGAACAGCAGTTCTCAGTGAAATTGCTCTAGCTTCCTTGGAGAGTGGATCAAATGGAAGTGGAAGGCAAGAGCTGGTAATTTCCTATGTACAAAGCTAACATGTGACCTAAAGCATCTGGACATGATCTTGATACCCAGAACCTGCATTTAAAAAAAATTCTGAGTTTGA